AATTGATATAATTAAAATGAAGGTTTTCTTTACGAATTTACAAATTTGGTGTAATAATTTTGAAAATAGGTAAATTTGAAAAAATTACAAAAAGAAACAAGAGTGTAATTTTCACAATAATTTTAAATGAATAAATTATGTATTTTTTTACACCATTTTTGTTTTGATTGCGTTGAAAGGTAATTGATTATTGAAATCATTAGGTATGATAACTTTCAATCTCTTTCCAAAGTCATTTTGAAGCAAGATAACTTTCAATTTTATCTCCATGTATTAGTCGGACCAGCCGGACATCCCAACTTCATTAATAGTAATTTAAACCTGCATTGTGACATTTCATATTAATATAGTCCAACAGCTGAGCCAAGGTCTAATATAGTTTAGTCAAGGTCAACTATATCTTAGCCAAGATCTAATATAACTCATCCAAAACATTTACAATCCCTTAAAATTGAAAGTCACCAATTCCTCAACACCTTCAATATGTAATTGATTACAATGAATATGTAATCAATTACATTACATCAAAGTCATTACGGGTATGAGGACTTTCAATCTCAATAGAAATTTGTTAAGATAAGAAGACTTCCAATTTTGAAAATGTAGTTGTAATTGATTATTGTGTATTTGTAGTCAATTATGGATAGGCTGATAAGCTTGGTCCACGAGTCCGTCGAGCCAATCCGTCAGCTCGACTTCAGTAAAAAAAATTGAATTTCTGTTGCAACATTTCATATTAACATTGTCCAATAGTTTGACCAAGGTTTGATACAACTCAACCAAGATCTAAAACAGCTTAAACAACAACCTTTTTCAACCCAGCAACTCATCTCATCATTAGTGCATTTTCATGAAAAAAAGTTTTAAGTCGTTTTCATGTGATATTAATGAATCGAGTTAGGTTGTATCAAACATTAGGTATATAAGATTTTGACTTGAATGTTGAACTGTGTTAATTAATATAAAGTGTTGTGGTGTCAGTTCAAATTTTTTTTACTCACATCCAACTAAATTATAAGAATAAAATTGGAAGTCATATTGTTTCAAAACGATTTTATATTGAGATTGGTTATCAGACTTCCCATCGACTTCAATAATCAATTATTTTTCAACACGGTAAAACAAAAGTCGTGTAAATGCACAATTTCTCCTTTTTTTTTTTCTAAGTTCTGTGAGGTTTGTACGACTTATTTATTCTTATAATTTTTCTTTTAAAAATTTATCTATTTTTATAATTACTGTATCAAATTTACCTATATACTAAAAGAAAAAACCTAAATCAATAGTAACAGAAAACCTAAGGTTCCGAGCTCAATTATTATCAAAGTTGATGAGAGACATCATGTACTTTTTAGAAATTCAGACCTGTCTGAGATTGAGTGGACAGTTATTTGTTTATGTGTAATTATCGAACCACGTGGTCTTCTCCACCACCGCTCTGCTTCTTTAAAACCTCAGTCTCAGAGTCACTAAGCACAGCACAACTCCAACACTCAGCTCAGAGCAGAACAAAATAATCCAGAATGACCATCGGCGTAGGCCAACTTGTCTGTGTCACTGGCGCTTCCGGTTACATCGCTTCCTGGCTCGTCAAGTTTCTTCTCGAACGCGGCTACACTGTTAATGCCACCGTTCGCGACCCAAGTAATGTGTTTTTTGTTTCTTATATAGTTTTTGTTTTCGTGGGTGATTATTTGTAGTGATGATGATAATAATGCATTAGCATTTGAAAGATTAAATATTGTATATGAAATGTGATGTGCAGGTGATCCCAGGAAGGTAGATCACTTGCTTAGCCTTGACGGTGCGAAGGAGAGACTGCATCTTTTCAAGGCGAATCTTCTAGAAGAAGGTTCCTTTGACTCTGCCGTTCAAGGTTGTCACGGTGTGTTCCACACTGCTTCTCCCTTTTTTCTGAGTTCGAAGGACCCGCAGGTTTGTTTCATTTGATGTTCGATTTGTGCATTTGCTTCATCTGTGGATTACATAAAATATTATGTATTTCAGGGTGAGTTGTTGGATCCAGCTTTAAAGGGGACAATGAACGTTCTGAAATCGTGTGTGAAGTCCGGAACACTGAAACGTGTGGTCTTAACTTCTTCTATTGCTGCAGTTGCGTACAACGGAAAACCTCAAACCCCTGATGTAGTGGTTGACGAGACCTGGTTTTCCGACGCAGATTTCTGTAGGAGAAATGGGGTATGTATGGGCTGTTTCCTCTGATAATGTTTTTGTGTCGTTTAGAAGAAAAAATTACTTGTCTCCCAAGACTCAGGAGACGTACCTGTGTCCCATGCATGGACAATGGCTGAAAATAAAGTACACAAACTTTAACTAATCAATGTTCGGTATTATTATTTTTTGGAAAAAGATATTTTATATTCATTATTTTACTTTCTAATTCCCTTTTTTCTTTATAAAAAAAAATTTAACTTTTTTTAATAACCAAATTTTCGATCGTTTTTTATTCTGACAAATTTTGAAGACGAAGGACAGAAAAGAGCACAAAAAAGGAAAGTTTCTGTCACCACTTTAAATCTATTTTCAACCTCTATTTAATACTTAACAAAAGAAAAATACTTAATTTAATGTTGGAAAACAGTATCTTGAAATGGAAACTTTATAAAACTATTAAAAATGGATAGAAATTATTTTTTTACTTAGAAAAATAGTTCTCATATGTGTAATATCAAAATTCATTTTCATATTTATTTATTTAATATTTTTCTTTCAATGTTTTTATATTATACTTTTATTTAACGATAATCTTACTTTTAATATTTATTTTACTAATTAAATATTATATTTCAAAATAATAATAGTGACAATAATAATATATTTATTTTATATTTTATATTATTATTTTTACTTTTCTTTTATGATTAACTACATATTATTATGTAATAACTGTCCCACGTATATTAAATTATTTTACTTCCTACTTAATTTTAAATTTAAATTGAAATATTTGGATCGATGTGTAAAATAAAACTAGCAATATAATATATAATATGAAAGTAATAATATTAAAAATTATAATAAGAACATAAAATTAAAAGTTAAAAATTCTGTTCTTCAAATTAATAAATATACCATTAAAAAATCATTAGTAATTTTATTTATTTAATAAAATCATACAAATTCAAAAAATTATGAAATATGTTTAATAATAAACATATTTAAAATTATTAATTATAAATAATGAAAAATAAGTACACCAGCACAATATCAATGATATAAATAATAAAATGATTACGTAGTCCTATTTATTAATTTTTAATTTGTGTTTTTTTCCATGATTATTTTAAAAATAATACACGCTAATAAATGTTTCATAAATTTATTATTTTCAACATTTTTAATTAAAAATATAATCATATTTTTTACTTTTAATATATTTAAAAGCTTAATTATATATTTTTTATAAAAATTTACAATATTAATAGAAATAGTTTTCTGGTAGAAAGGTTTAAGATGTTATAGACTTAAGCAGAAAGTGTTATTATTTAATTATAAGTTATAACTTCTCATCCAATCACTATAATGGCGATGAAAGACAATATAAAACGAACAACATTGACTTTGGTTACAATGTTGTCTCGTGTATTATGTTACCTTGTTCTTGACATATTTTGCTATTTCCAATTTATGTTTTAGAAATGGTATAACCTTTCAAAGACTTTGGCTGAAGAAATTGCATGGAAATTTACAAAAGAAAACAACATTGACTTGGTTACAATAAATCCAGCCATGGTTATTGGACCTCTCTTGCAACCAGAGCTTAACACCAGTGCTGCAGCAGTTTTAAATTTTGTTAATGGTAATTACTATATACATTCTGCTCTAAAATTTTTATTATTTCGCTGCACAAACCTTAGATAATTGAAGAAAGTGTTCCATCGTCTTCATATAGGTGCTGAAACATTTAGAAATGTTATTTCGGGATGGGTAGATGTGAAAGATGTTGCAAATGCTCATATTCTAGCATATGAGAATGCTTCAGCTAATGGAAGATATTGTCTAGTTGGAAGGGTGACACACAACTCAGTGATTGTGAAGATGTTACGTGATTTGTTCCCAACATTGCAACTTCCAGAGAAGTGAGTATAATTATTTTGATGGTTTCAAGACTGCGTGCGATTCAAATCCACTATTCAGTGCTTTGTTTATTGGCTTGAAAACTTAATTTAGTATCCAAAATGCATATTATAGAACCTTATATTATATAGGCTAAAATAAAATAATAACCTTCCAAATTAGAGCTATACACAAATGCGAATGTGTCTTAATTTACCTTATCAATCTATTGTCATTATAGTTGAATATTTGAACAAACAAGAAAATCACGTATGACAAATAAACGTTTTACCCTGTCAACAATATTACCAGGTGTGCAGATGAGAAGCTATATGTGCCAATATATCAGGTTTCGAAGAAAAAAGCAAAGAACTTGGGGATTAAATTTACTCCATTGGAAGTGAGCCTCAAGGAGACTGTGGAAAGCTTGAAGGAAAAGAAGCTCATCAAATTTTAAGTTGTTACCCTTCAAAACGTCGAAACCTTCTTTAGTTGTTGACTCATCTTCTTATGTTCACGCTCATGAATAAACTTACTATAAACTAAGACTTCATTAGGCCGAAATAAATTATTCTTGGTGTGTTTGTACTATTGATAATTAAGTTTCAAACATGCATGTCCATGTTTTTAAGCATTATTGTTATATTTTCTTTTATACTTGTATTGTATGACTGTTTGATCAGTTTAGGATGAGATGATCCACACAATTAAGAACATGTAATAAGTCATCCAAAGACTAGTCGATTAAATAACATAGACCGAACGGTCATCTTTAAATAGTAATTAAGATTGATGAGGATTAACTTAAATAAGGTAGAGTATGTGAAGAAGAAATCATGCTCAACATCCTCTTTCTCATGAAAGACCCGTTCGTTCTTCTTGCATAGAGCATGCTTGAAATGTTCGTCATCCTTCACTACCTTAATCATGGCTACCCTACCAACAAACTCCTCCAAGGAATATCCCATGATGAAGGAGGACACATACTCCCCAAACTCATGAGGAGCCCAACCATACCCTGGAACAGGTAAGACAGACATGCAGGATCCGTCCCACTCCCCTGTAACGTCCACTTTTATTGCGACCACCTCACCCGTGTTGACCGAAGCAGGGGAATTATTAATATCTACACCCGCCGCTGCGTCACCAAAATCTACTTCTCGCACGGTTGATCCAAGGATGGATGACCCAACTGACAATATCGATGATGTCGATTCATCATTGGCATATCCTCGGTCTCCCCTCCCTCTAGACTCCTAAGACAAAGACAGTAGAACAGTAGACATTATTCCCTTTGAATAAGAGAAGTATGAAGCACTCGATATTCGCAAGAGAAAATTGAGAGAAATGGTGAAAATGACGTTGAGTCTCACCTCTATTTATAGTTGAAATGAGCACTTCAATGAACAAATCCTGACCATCAAATCGAGAAAGATCTAATGGCTCACATCTTGTGACCCTTCATTTCTCGAGATGCATGAATCCCAACGTGCCACTTGTCCCTCTCCCACCGGTTGTAGCTTCTCCCTATCTAACACATCTCCCTAAAATGTTTCAGAATGGTTACAATCTCCCAATTGACCGTTTACCAAAAGAAGCAAACATCCTCCAAAAATGCCCGGGACCCTTTTTCACAATAAACCCTCTCGAGAGTATACTTGGGCTTGAGGGACCTGTGTCACTATCCATTCAGCCTAGGACCAGACTGTCCATACAATTAGGAACATGCAATAAGCTACCTAGAGACCTGTTTGTTGGACAATTTGGATTGAACGACCACCTTTAAACAATAACTAAGATTGATGATGATTAACTTAAATCAAAACATGATTATTACCAATTAGGTCGTGATTAGGTCGGGGCTAATTCAAAAATCTATAAATACAAGTTTGAAAAAATGAGGTAGATTGGTTGAATTCATTACACATTTATTGTTGAGTTTGCTAAATCTTTGCTGACTTTGACATCAAAATACCTTTTGTAGGAAACTTCTCTATATATACAACCGAACCAAGTAAAAGACGAACGGTGATACAAACAAGTTATTGGACACATAAATGGTTATATATTGGTAGGTCGTATTGACCATTAACAAATAGGCTTTTATCCCATTTAAGAGATCACCTTCAACTATAAACCGTAAGAAAGTATAGGTGAGATTTTTTGTAAGATATTAAAAAGTATGCAAAGAATAAGAATCATTACAATGCTATTTCCAACAAATTTGAATAAATTTACAAGACCCTGATTCAAATAATTATGATTAAGAGTAATAAGTTAATGTATCTTATTAAATGATTAAGATTGTTCTATAAGATTACCTTAGTGAATCAATCATGTCGCTTGTCTTCTCGACATCTAACTCCAATAAAAAAGAGAATATTTGTAAAAAATGTTAATAGTTAATAGATATTTTAAATTGTTGGAAATTTTGTTGACAAATTTTAAGATTTGTAATAAGTGACAAAAATTATATATTATCATGATAAAATAAATTTGTGAATAATTCATATTTATTGATATATTTTCTTTCTGTTGATAAGATTTGGTTAATAATTTTAAATTCTTTTGTAATAAAATAAATTAAGTTAAATGAAAATAAATAAAGAAAACTCAATGAAAATAATACCACCACACTCTACTAGAAGCTTAGCTAATAACAAACCATCTGCAAGCAACCTTTCCTTAGACATATGAAATATGATTAACATTCGTGTCATAATTAATGGACTCTTTCTTTCAACTACGAGGGATGACAATTTTACAGAGTCTTTCCATGTAAAATTTGCGACGAATAATTATTATTCGCGGGTATTTATTATCTGCGGGTAACGGATAACGGAAATTTTATATCTGTTTTTAAACGGGTTGGATACAGATAGTATACTACTCGCCTGTGTGTACTTATTACTCGCAAAAAATAAAATAAAATAATAATTTATATATATTTTAATTAAATTTAATTAAAAATAAAATAAAATTATATTTTATTAGGTTAAATTTAATTAAAATTAAAATTAAAATTTAATTTATATTTAATTTAATTTATATTATATTATATATTTTTATTTTATAATTTTATTTAAATTTTATTCTAAAAATGTATTAAATATATTTTTTTTATTTTTGCGGGTATCCGCGAATATTTTTTAAACAGATACCCACGTGAATAACGAATCGAATAGTGAATACAATTTTATCCGACAGGTCAGATTACGGATAATGTCTTATCCGTGTCCGACTCGCTCCGATCCCTAACTAAGACTACCTCTGCACTATCAAACTTTATGAATTTGAAATATCTCACAGTGACCTTTTGGGATGTCTTCGTGCAGTATTATCAAAAATAAATTGATGTACATTAATTTTAATATTTTAAAATATATTAATAAAATTTTTAATATATCAAAATTAATATATTTTAAGAATATGGAAGATGGAGAACATTATAAAATTAACAGTGAATTTAGACTTTAAACTCGACACCTTTTTTACCGTAGAAAATTGTACAATAATTAACAATTATATGAAAGTGAGAAACAAATAGTGATAGATAGAAAGAAATTAATAAAAAAGTTATTGAATTATAAGCGATAGTTACTTCCACCAAGCTAAAAGTCAATTGAAGTAGTTAAAAAGAAAAAAAAAGTTGATGCAGATTTTTTATAATATTTTAATATAATATATGTTATTTTTTCACTATTTTATTATTATATTTACCTTAAATTTAATAATAAAAAATATACGACGTCTGAAAATATTATCAAAAAATATCATTGTCCTTTAGAAATGTTACAGTTGAAACTTTGCTTTCAATTATGGAGTAAAACCTAGAAGGTGACGTGGAAAGTAGATGCATGCAGCTAAATAATCCAAATATTTCCTAATAGGGTGAATCACGGTACAACTGTTTCTTTCCTATAAAAGAGTGCAGTAAAACTTGTTTCTAGAATTACCTTTTCATTTTTCTGTAAAATTTATATTAGACATCACTTTTATTTTCACAATCAACATAAATGTTTTAATCTCAAATCTCTTGAAACAGTATCACTAAGGTAAATAATAACATTTGAGGCATATAGTTTATTTTTTAACTCAAATATCCATCATAATTTTATCTTTAAAAAATATTTCAACCTAAATCTAATTTCTAATCGATACTCCACATATAAAAAGTCTACTCTTTTAATTTAAGATGAAGTACACTCATTTCTGATAAGAACAAAAAGTAGGTTTTAAAACTTAATATACAAATAAATATATTTTAAAGTTTTAGATAAAATATTATATAGAAGTTTTACCTCAGCGCATGCGTCATTTATGCGTAGGCTCGACCCATCCTAATCAAAATCGACATAACTTTTAAATGACTTAAGACTAAATATTGAATAAAATATTATCTGCATAGAAGTTCCCCTATCAGGAAAACCATGAACGTTACCAAATCTTACATGTTACGGGTCAATGCAACTATTTGAATTTCTTTCTTACTGTCTGTACAATGTTTCTAATATTTTTAAAAAATTGTAATAAATTTTAAATATAGAAAAACCCGCTGAAAACATAAAAAAAAAAAAAACAATATCTTACCTAAAAATTAACAATATATTTAGCTTCTTCCCACCGGACTTTTGGGGTCGCATTCTGCAAATGTCAATTTATGTATATCCACCAAGCCACGGCTCTTCTAAATATCATATCTTTCTTTTATTTTAAATTCAAGTCATCTTCACTGCAAAACTTGTACACATACATTCGTACGTGTTCTTAACTTTAGTTTTTTGAATCTGATTACCTTATCTTGTTATGTTTTTTTTGGAATATTCTTATAGTACGTGCAATTTAGTTAATGTCAATAAAAGTATTTTTTATTTGTATGATGCATACTTTTGTTTAAAGTTCATATTTTTAAATTTTATATCATGATACGTGATATGTTCTGATACTCCTAGTTTAATATTATGATCTGGATATGGCACTTAATTGCAAATGGCCCACTAACACTTATTCAAATTGAAATTCCCAGTAATACCTTTCCAAATTGAAAACGCAATCGATTTTGCTTCTTTAAAAGGTCACTCCGAGATCGAGTGAACACAGCACAACACAACACTGAACACAGAGAATCAGCTCAGAGCAGAACAACATAATCCAGAATGAGCACCGGCGCCGGACAAGTAGTGTGTGTTACCGGAGCTTCCGGTTACATTGCTTCCTGGGTCGTTAAGTTTCTTCTCGAACGCGGCTACACCGTGAAGGCCACCGTTCGCGACACAAGTATGTTTTTTTTTTTGTCTTCTATAATTTTTGTTTTCGTGGGTGATTATTTGTGGTGATGCATTACTATTTGGATGACTAAAGATTGGGTAATGTGTGATGTGCAGGTGATCCCAAAAAGGTAGATCATTTGCTCAGCCTTGATGGTGCGAAGGAGAGATTGCATCTCGTCAAGGCGAATCTTCTAGAAGAAGGTTCCTTTGACTCTGCCGTTGAAGGTTGTCACGCTGTGTTTCACACTGCTTCTCCCTTTTTCGACGATGCCAAGGACCCGCAGGTTTGTTTCGATTGCAGTTCGTTTTGTTCATTTGTTTCATCTATGGCTGTGTAATAATTTGTTTTCACTTTATGTATTTCAGACTGAGTTGTTGGATCCGGCTTTGAAGGGGACTCTGAATGTTCTGAAATCGTGCGTGAATTCGCCGACGCTGAAACGCGTGGTTGTAACTTCTTCTATTGCTGCAGTTTCATTCAACGACAGGCCTAAAAACCCTGATGTAGTGGTTGACGAGACTTGGTATTCGGACCCAGAATACTGTAAGAGAAATGGGGTATGTTCCTTTTCCTCTAATAAACTTTCATTACATGTTACTCCTTACTATAGTTTGGCATGTGTGTTGTCTCACCTTGTTCTTCACATTTCTTGCTATTTCCTATTTATGTTTTAGATATGGTATAACCTCTCAAAGACTTTGGCCGAAGATGCTGCCTGGAAATTTGCAAAAGAGAACAATATTGACTTGGTTACAATGAACCCTGCATTGGTTGTTGGACCTCTCTTGCAACCAGTACTTAACACTAGTTCTGCTGCAGTTTTAAATTTAATTAATGGTAATTACTATTTTCACATTATGCTCTAAAATTTCTATTATTCGATTTGCCTGCATCTTGGTTACACAATGTAGTTTTTTTCAACTAAAACTATGTTATCAGTTTTTGCTGAACAATTCTTAGATAATTGAAGAAACTGTTCCATCGCTTGATACAGGTTCGCCTACATTTAAAAATGTAACTTTGGGATGGGTGGACGTGAGAGATGTTGCAATTACCCATGTTCTGGCATATGAGAATGCTTCAGCTAATGGAAGATATTTACTAGTTGAAAGAGTGGCACACTTCTCAGATGTTGTGAAGATTTTACATGATCTGTACCCAACATTGCAACTTCCACAGAAATGTGTCGATGATAGGCCATATGATCCAATATTCCAGGTTTCGAAGGAAAAAGCAAAGAGCTTGGGGCTTGAATTTACACCTTTGGAAGTGAGCATCAAGGATACTGTGGAAAGCTTGAAGGAAAAGGGGTTTATCAAATTTTAAGTTTTTACCCTTCAAGAAAGGTTGAAACCTTCTTTAGTTGTACACTTGGCTTCTTATGTTCATGCTTATGAATAAATTTACTGTAAAATAAGACTTATATCAGAACTGCTAAGTACTGAAATAAGTTTTTCTTAGTGTGGTTTGTAAGAGTGACCATTTAGTGTGTCCTGGTAAAGTTCGCATTACAGATTGTATCCTCCTTATACTATATATATTACTAGAAAATGTCTGTTGCAACTAATGCATTATATTTGTATCATTTGTGGCTCTAGAGTGGAAAATTCAGTTGGGAAGTTCAATACTGTAAACATATGAAAGTAGTTTATATTAAATTTGGGATACCTAAGTGTGTGAAGAAGCATAAGCATTTTAAAAATAATACTTTTCATTAGTTTCACTATGTATAGACATCAAAATCGTGTTGTCTCGCCCAACTTAACCAACTAAGAAAAATAATGTAACTTTTGCTGGTTAGACTCGTTCCATAAAGGAAAAGAAAGATTAAAGAATAAAATGGTTGTGTGTAAAAGTTTGTTGGATGTTAAAATAATAATACCCTATAAATAAACACCCTTCTGTAATTGATGGGACAACAGTATTACAATTTTAAGAATTGTTTTCCTTGAGAGTGACATAGTTTCTGGTATTACAAAATCATCATTACTTTGTCTTAGACTAACTTGTTTTGTCTTGTCTTAGTAGTGCTCAATTGGTCATCAAAAACACCGATTGAAAAAAGAGAAAGTTATCTTGATTGGAATGACATCATAGAAATACGTGTAGTTCTCCAAATCTTGCATAATGTATGTTAGATGTTCGATACAAGTCTTCAAAGATGTGCAGGTTTCATTACGCATGTTTTGTTGGTCATGTTGGGATTTTACTTCTAAGCATTGTGATACACAAATCATGAATGGTTGGAATGCAAATTTTAAGTTTAGATAGGACTAATCAACTAAGTCGTCTTAAGAATTTCACCAAATCAAATAAAAGAATATACAGTAGGGTTAAAAATATAAAATAACAATAGAGAGGTTTGCAGGAGACGATGTAAAGAAAAATAAATATGCAAAAACAGTATGATTCTGTATTTTTTTCATAATTAAATTCTTATCATTTATTTAATTTCTAAACAGGTCTCAAATTAACTAAACAAGTGTCAATTTATTTGGTAAGACTCTTACTCATTCCAAGCGTTTATGAGAGTGAAATTGTTTTTAAACGTATTCTAAGTGTCTACATGTCAAATAAACTAAATATGTAGTTCATAAATTTAAACACATGTCAAAATCTCCCAAGTTTGAACTGTGGTTGTCCATAATAATAACAATAATAATTTAACTATTTATTTTATTTTAAATAATAATTCACATTTCATTTGAACATAATTATTACAAATTATATTTTATTTAAAATTATTTTTATGACGAAGAATAAAATAGTAATCATATAATTTTATCAATTAAAATATTTTTAATCTATCAAACTTATTATATTTGTCATTAACTTTTTGATTTTCCTACACCTTTCACAATCTTTTTATTAATTCAAACGAGTTGACTTTTACATTTATTTTTACTCAAATTCATTCTCCAAAATTCATTTTCCAAAACAAAAGCTAAGTAACAAATGAATTAATTAAAATTTGTAGTCATTGTNGAGATGCATGAATCCCAACGTGCCACTTGTCCCTCTCCCACCGGTTGTAGCTTCTCCCTATCTAACACATCTCCCTAAAATGTTTCAGAATGGTTACAATCTCCCAATTGACCGTTTACCAAAAGAAGCAAACATCCTCCAAAAATGCCCGGGACCCTTTTTCACAATAAACCCTCTCGAGAGTATACTTGGGCTTGAGGGACCTGTGTCACTATCCAGTCAGCCTAGGACCAGACTGTCCATACAATTAGGAACATGCAATAAGCTACCTAGAGACCTGTTTGTTGGACAATTTGGATTGAACGACCACCTTTAAACAATAACTAAGATTGATGATGATTAACTTAAATCAAAACATGATTATTACCAATTAGGTCGTGATTAGGTCGGGGCTAATTCAAAAATCTATAAATACAAGTTTGAAAAAATGAGGTAGATTGGTTGAATTCATTACACATTTATTGTTGAGTTTGCTAAATCTTTGCTGACTTTGACATCAAAATACCTTTTGTAGGAAACTTCTCTATATATACAACCGAACCAAGTAAAAGACGAACGGTGATACAAACAAGTTATTGGACACATAAATGGTTATATATTGGTAGGTCGTATTGACCATTAACAAATAGGCTTTTATCCCATTTAAGAGATCACCTTCAACTATAAACCGTAAGAAAGTATAGGTGAGATTTTTTGTAAGATATTAAAAAGTATGCAAAGAATAAGAATCATTACAATGCTATTTCCAACAAATTTGAATAAATTTACAAGACCCTGATTCAAATAATTATGATTAAGAGTAATAAGTTAATGTATCTTATTAAATGATTAAGATTGTTCTATAAGATTACCTTAGTGAATCAATCATGTCGCTTGTCTTCTCGACATCTAACTCCAATAAAAAAGAGAATATTTGTAAAAAATGTTAATAGTTAATAGATATTTTAAATTGTTGGAAATTTTGTTGACAAATTTTAAGATTTGTAATAAGTGACAAAAATTATATATTATCATGATAAAATAAATTTGTGAATAATTCATATTTATTGATATATTTTCTTTCTGTTGATAAGATTTGGTTAATAATTTTAAATTCTTTTGTAATAAAATAAATTAAGTTAAATGAAAATAAATAAAGAAAACTCAATGAAAATAATACCACCACACTCTACTAGAAGCTTAGCTAATAACAAACCATCTGCAAGCAACCTTTCCTTAGACATATGAAATATGATTAACATTCGTGTCATAATTAATGGACTCTTTCTTTCAACTACGAGGGATGACAATTTTACAGAGTCTTTCCATGTAAAATTTGCGACGAATAATTATTATTCGCGGGTATTTATTATCTGCGGGTAACGGATAACGGAAATTTTATATCTGTTTTTAAACGGGTTGGATACAGATAGTATACTACTCGCCTGTGTGTACTTATTACTCGCAAAAAATAAAATAAAATAATAATTTATATATATTTTAATTAAATTTAATTAAAAATAAAATAAAATTATATTTTATTAGGTTAAATTTAATTAAAATTAAAATTAAAATTTAATTTATATTTAATTTAATTTATATTATATTATATATTTTTATTTTATAATTTTATTTAAATTTTATTCTAAAAATGTATTAAATATATTTTTTTTATTTTTGCGGGTATCCGCGAATATTTTTTAAACAGATACCCACGTGAATAACGAATCGAATAGTGAATACAATTTTATCCGACAGGTCAGATTACGGATAATGTCTTATCCGTGTCCGACTCGCTCCGATCCCTAACTAAGACTACCTCTGCACTATCAAACTTTATGAATTTGAAATATCTCACAGTGACCTTTTGGGATGTCTTCGTGCAGTATTATCAAAAATAAATTGATGTACATTAATTTTAATATTTTAAAATATATTAATAAAATTTTTAATATATCAAAATTAATATATTTTAAGAATATGGAAGATGGAGAACATTATAAAATTAACAGTGAATTTAGACTTTAAACTCGACACCTTTTTTACCGTAGAAAATTGTACAATAATTAACAATTATATGAAAGTGAGAAACAAATAGTGATAGATAGAAAGAAATTAATAAAAAAGTTATTGAATTATAAGCGATAGTTACTTCCACCAAGCTAAAAGTCAATTGAAGTAGTTAAAAAGAAAAAAAAAGTTGATGCAGATTTTTTATAATATTTTAATATAATATATGTTATTTTTTCACTATTTTATTATTATATTTACCTTAAATTTAATAATAAAAAATATACGACGTCTGAAAATATTATCAAAAAATATCATTGTCCTTTAGAAATGTTACAGTTGAAACTTTGCTTTCAATTATGGAGTAAAACCTAGAAGGTGACGTGGAAAGTAGATGCATGCAGCTAAATAATCCAAATATTTCCTAATAGGGTGAATCACGGTACAACTGTTTCTTTCCTATAAAAGAGTGCAGTAAAACTTGTTTCTAGAATTACCTTTTCATTTTTCTGTAAAATTTATATTAGACATCACTTTTATTTTCACAATCAACATAAATGTTTTAATCTCAAATCTCTTGAAACAGTATCACTAAGGTAAATAATAACATTTGAGGCATATAGTTTATTTTTTAACTCAAATATCCATCATAATTTTATCTTTAAAAAATATTTCAACCTAAATCTAATTTCTAATCGATACTCCACATATAAAAAGTCTACTCTTTTAATTTAAGATGAAGTACACTCATTTCTGATAAGAACAAAAAGTAGGTTTTAAAACTTAATATACAAATAAATATATTTTAAAGTTTTAGATAAAATATTATATAGAAGTTTTACCTCAGCGCATGCGTCATTTATGCGTAGGCTCGACCCATCCTAATCAAAATCGACATAACTTTTAAATGACTTAAGACTAAATATTGAATAAAATATTATCTGCATAGAAGTTCCCCTATCAGGAAAACCATGAACGTTACCAAATCTTACATGTTACGGGTCAATGCAACTATTTGAATTTCTTTCTTACTGTCTGTACAATGTTTCTAATATTTTTAAAAAATTGTAATAAATTTTAAATATAGAAAAACCCGCTGAAAACATAAAAAAAAAAACAAGACAATATCTTACCTAAAAATTAACAATATATTTAGCTTCTTCCCACCGGACTTTTGGGGTCGCATTCTGCAAATGTCAATTTATGTATATCCACCAAGCCACGGCTCTTCTAAATATCATATCTTTCTTTTATTTTAAATTCAAGTCATCTTCACTGCAAAACTTGTACACATACATTCGTACGTGTTCTTAACTTTAGTTTTTTGAATCTGATTACCTTATCTTGTTATGTTTTTTTTGGAATATTCTTATAGTACGTGCAATTTAGTTAATGTCAATAAAAGTATTTTTTATTTGTATGATGCATACTTTTGTTTAAAGTTCATATTTTTAAATTTTATATCATGATACGTGATATGTTCTGATACTCCTAGTTTAATATTATGATCTGGATATGGCACTTAATTGCAAATGGCCCACTAACACTTATTCAAATTGAAATTCCCAGTAATACCTTTCCAAATTGAAAACGCAATCGATTTTGCTTCTTTAAAAGGTCACTCCGAGATCGAGTGAACACAGCACAACACAACACTGAACACAGAGAATCAGCTCAGAGCAGAACAACATAATCCAGAATGAGCACCGGCGCCGGACAAGTAGTGTGTGTTACCGGAGCTTCCGGTTACATTGCTTCCTGGGTCGTTAAGTTTCTTCTCGAACGCGGCTACACCGTGAAGGCCACCGTTCGCGACACAAGTATGTTTTTTTTTTTGTCTTCTATAATTTTTGTTTTCGTGGGTGATTATTTGTGGTGATGCATTACTATTTGGATGACTAAAGATTGGGTAATGTGTGATGTGCAGGTGATCCCAAAAAGGTAGATCATTTGCTCAGCCTTGATGGTGCGAAGGAGAGATTGCATCTCGTCAAGGCGAATCTTCTAGAAGAAGGTTCCTTTGACTCTGCCGTTGAAGGTTGTCACGCTGTGTTTCACACTGCTTCTCCCTTTTTCGACGATGCCAAGGACCCGCAGGTTTGTTTCGATTGCAGTTCGTTTTGTTCATTTGTTTCATCTATGGCTGTGTAATAATTTGTTTTCACTTTATGTATTTCAGACTGAGTTGTTGGATCCGGCTTTGAAGGGGACTCTGAATGTTCTGAAATCGTGCGTGAATTCGCCGACGCTGAAACGCGTGGTTGTAACTTCTTCTATTGCTGCAGTTTCATTCAACGACAGGCCTAAAAACCCTGATGTAGTGGTTGACGAGACTTGGTATTCGGACCCAGAATACTGTAAGAGAAATGGGGTATGTTCCTTTTCCTCTAATAAACTTTCATTACATGTTACTCCTTACTATAGTTTGGCATGTGTGTTGTCTCACCTTGTTCTTCACATTTCTTGCTATTTCCTATTTATGTTTTAGATATGGTATAACCTCTCAAAGACTTTGGCCGAAGATGCTGCCTGGAAATTTGCAAAAGAGAACAATATTGACTTGGTTACAATGAACCCTGCATTGGTTGTTGGACCTCTCTTGCAACCAGTACTTAACACTAGTTCTGCTGCAGTTTTAAATTTAATTAATGGTAATTACTATTTTCACATTATGCTCTAAAATTTCTATTATTCGATTTGCCTGCATCTTGGTTACACAATGTAGTTTTTTTCAACTAAAACTATGTTATCAGTTTTTGCTGAACAATTCTTAGATAATTGAAGAAACTGTTCCATCGCTTGATACAGGTTCGCCTACATTTAAAAATGTAACTTTGGGATGGGTGGACGTGAGAGATGTTGCAATTACCCATGTTCTGGCATATGAGAATGCTTCAGCTAATGGAAGATATTTACTAGTTGAAAGAGTGGCACACTTCTCAGATGTTGTGAAGATTTTACATGATCTGTACCCAACATTGCAACTTCCACAGAAATGTGTCGATGATAGGCCATATGATCCAATATTCCAGGTTTCGAAGGAAAAAGCAAAGAGCTTGGGGCTTGAATTTACACCTTTGGAAGTGAGCATCAAGGATACTGTGGAAAGCTTGAAGGAAAAGGGGTTTATCAAATTTTAAGTTTTTACCCTTCAAGAAAGGTTGAAACCTTCTTTAGTTGTACACTTGGCTTCTTATGTTCATGCTTATGAATAAATTTACTGTAAAATAAGACTTATATCAGAACTGCTAAGTACTGAAATAAGTTTTTCTTAGTGTGGTTTGTAAGAGTGACCATTTAGTGTGTCCTGGTAAAGTTCGCATTACAGATTGTATCCTCCTTATACTATATATATTACTAGAAAATGTCTGTTGCAACTAATGCATTATATTTGTATCATTTGTGGCTCTAGAGTGGAAAATTCAGTTGGGAAGTTCAATACTGTAAACATATGAAAGTAGTTTATATTAAATTTGGGATACCTAAGTGTGTGAAGAAGCATAAGCATTTTAAAAATAATACTTTTCATTAGTTTCACTATGTATAGACATCAAAATCGTGTTGTCTCGCCCAACTTAACCAACTAAGAAAAATAATGTAACTTTTGCTGGTTAGACTCGTTCCATAAAGGAAAAGAAAGATTAAAGAATAAAATGGTTGTGTGTAAAAGTTTGTTGGATGTTAAAATAATAATACCCTATAAATAAACACCCTTCTGTAATTGATGGGACAACAGTATTACAATTTTAAGAATTGTTTTCCTTGAGAGTGACATAGTTTCTGGTATTACAAAATCATCATTACTTTGTCTTAGACTAACTTGTTTTGTCTTGTCTTAGTAGTGCTCAATTGGTCATCAAAAACACCGATTGAAAAAAGAGAAAGTTATCTTGATTGGAATGACATCATAGAAATACGTGTAGTTCTCCAAATCTTGCATAATGTATGTTAGATGTTCGATACAAGTCTTCAAAGATGTGCAGGTTTCATTACGCATGTTTTGTTGGTCATGTTGGGATTTTACTTCTAAGCATTGTGATACACAAATCATGAATGGTTGGAATGCAAATTTTAAGTTTAGATAGGACTAATCAACTATGTCGTCTTAAGAATTTCACTAAATCAAATAAAAGAATATACAGTAGGGTTAAAAATATAAAATAACAATAGAGAGGTTTGCAGGAGACGATGTAAAGAAAAATAAATATGCAAAAACAGTATGATTCTGTATTTTTTTCATAATTAAATTCTTATCATTTATTTAATTTCTAAACAGGTCTCAAATTAACTAAACAAGTGTCAATTTATTTGGTAAGACTCTTACTCATTCCAAGCGTTTATGAGAGTGAAATTGTTTTTAAACGTATTCTAAGTGTCTACATGTCAAATAAACTAAATATGTAGTTCATAAATTTAAACACATGTCAAAATCTCCCAAGTTTGAACTGTGGTTGTCCATAATAATAACAATAATAATTTAACTATTTATTTTATTTTAAATAATAATTCACATTTCATTTGAACATAATTATTACAAATTATATTTTATTTAAAATTATTTTTATGACGAAGAATAAAATAGTAATCATATAATTTTATCAATTAAAATATTTTTAATCTATCAAACTTATTATATTTGTCATTAACTTTTTGATTTTCCTACACCTTTCACAATCTTTTTATTAATTCAAACGAGTTGACTTTTACATTTATTTTTACTCAAATTCATTCTCCAAAATTCATTTTCCAAAACAAAAGCTAAGTAACAAATGAATTAATTAAAATTTGTAGTCATTGTTTTTAGGAGAATTTACTCTTAATTGATTTTCTATTCTATTTTATAACTAAAGTCACTCTAATGTGAGTTTTTTTCACAGGACTAGCAAATATTAGTTTTTCAATCATAATTGGGGTGTTTCATGTCTCACTGTGAATGCAAAACACTAATTTAACATGAACAATATTAATTTCATGCACCAATTTCACCTACACACTCAATGAATTTAATTATTTTTTAGTGAATATGAAGATGGAAAGTAACAACAATGATTAAATAAAAAATAAAGATGATTGAATTTAATGGGATGGATGTGATTATTGGTGGAAGTGTAGTAGAGCAATAAGAACATTAAAGTAAATTGCAAAACATAAATTACTAGAGAAACTTGTAAGAGAAATAAATGAAAGCAATTATCCAAATTGCAACAATCAATACTAGTTTAGTCATTTTCCTATTCGTAATGTTTCAGATTGTATGATTTATTTCATAATTTGCTACCTTGTAAAATATAAAATAAATCTATTTATATTTTCTAACAGTTCCCTTGAACAAATATAAAATAAACCTATTTATATATTTTAACAGTTTAGAGACTTAAATTTAAATTTGAATAAACTAAGGCTGTAGGTGGATGGTTGCTATATTCTTCCCAATTTGCTTTTTAATGTTGTCAATAGATATATTTAATTCACGTTTTCCTTCGACCATGTTTGACAAAGAATAAAGAGTTACGTACCTATCTTATATCTTATGACATCTATATGATAAAGAAGTACTTGGTAAAATTGTTGTTCACTCACATTATATTTGTAGAATATAATCATCTACTTTACCCTCGTTAAGGCTTGAAATATACGAGACAACTTTCAGATATTCTTGAAAGATATTTTTGTCCTTAAGTGATACAACTTGTGGGGTTTTATGTTTTATGAACTTCGGTTCCTTAATTCTCATAAAATCGTGTTTTTAATTGTTACACGGGTGTTAAATTTAACTCCTTTGTCTATGTGAAATTTACCTTATTAATCTTGAGATGTCTCTTACCCACAACAACTATACTAGTTTAATATATATATATATATATATATATATATATATATGATAAATTGATATTATTTAAAACTTTTTAAAAATTATAATTATTATTTATATAAATAGATTCCTAGGTGTGATGGTCCGACATACTAACTAAATTGGTTCAAAATTAATGAACTTCATCTTCATGAATGTATAATTTTCCAATTTTTTTAATAGTTTACATGCAGGGTATGTATCGGTCAAATAATTCATCTAGCATTTTCCCAGATTGAATCAGGCAAGCCAGATGGTTCTTCAAAACGACACAGTGAACAGAGCACAACACTGAACAGAGAATCAGCTCAGAGCCATAGAAGAAAACAAGAATGAGCAGCGGCGCTGGGCAAGTGNAGATAGTATACTACTCGCCTGTGTGTACTTATTACTCGCAAAAAATAAAATAAAATAATAATTTATATATATTTTAATTAAATTTAATTAAAAATAAAATAAAATTATATTTTATTAGGTTAAATTTAATTAAAATTAAAATTAAAATTTAATTTATATTTAATTTAATTTATATTATATTATATATTTTTATTTTATAATTTTATTTAAATTTTATTCTAAAAATGTATTAAATATATTTTTTTTATTTTTGCGGGTATCCGCGAATATTTTTTAAACAGATACCCACGTGAATAACGAATCGAATAGTGAATACAATTTTATCCGACAGGTCAGATTACGGATAATGTCTTATCCGTGTCCGACTCGCTCCGATCCCTAACTAAGACTACCTCTGCACTATCAAACTTTATGAATTTGAAATATCTCACAGTGACCTTTTGGGATGTCTTCGTGCAGTATTATCAAAAATAAATTGATGTACATTAATTTTAATATTTTAAAATATATTAATAAAATTTTTAATATATCAAAATTAATATATTTTAAGAATATGGAAGATGGAGAACATTATAAAATTAACAGTGAATTTAGACTTTAAACTCGACACCTTTTTTACCGTAGAAAATTGTACAATAATTAACAATTATATGAAAGTGAGAAACAAATAGTGATAGATAGAAAGAAATTAATAAAAAAGTTATTGAATTATAAGCGATAGTTACTTCCACCAAGCTAAAAGTCAATTGAAGTAGTTAAAAAGAAAAAAAAAGTTGATGCAGATTTTTTATAATATTTTAATATAATATATGTTATTTTTTCACTATTTTATTATTATATTTACCTTAAATTTAATAATAAAAAATATACGACGTCTGAAAATATTATCAAAAAATATCATTGTCCTTTAGAAATGTTACAGTTGAAACTTTGCTTTCAATTATGGAGTAAAACCTAGAAGGTGACGTGGAAAGTAGATGCATGCAGCTAAATAATCCAAATATTTCCTAATAGGGTGAATCACGGTACAACTGTTTCTTTCCTATAAAAGAGTGCAGTAAAACTTGTTTCTAGAATTACCTTTTCATTTTTCTGTAAAATTTATATTAGACATCACTTTTATTTTCACAATCAACATAAATGTTTTAATCTCAAATCTCTTGAAACAGTATCACTAAGGTAAATAATAACATTTGAGGCATATAGTTTATTTTTTAACTCAAATATCCATCATAATTTTATCTTTAAAAAATATTTCAACCTAAATCTAATTTCTAATCGATACTCCACATATAAAAAGTCTACTCTTTTAATTTAAGATGAAGTACACTCATTTCTGATAAGAACAAAAAGTAGGTTTTAAAACTTAATATACAAATAAATATATTTTAAAGTTTTAGATAAAATATTATATAGAAGTTTTACCTCAGCGCATGCGTCATTTATGCGTAGGCTCGACCCATCCTAATCAAAATCGACATAACTTTTAAATGACTTAAGACTAAATATTGAATAAAATATTATCTGCATAGAAGTTCCCCTATCAGGAAAACCATGAACGTTACCAAATCTTACATGTTACGGGTCAATGCAACTATTTGAATTTCTTTCTTACTGTCTGTACAATGTTTCTAATATTTTTAAAAAATTGTAATAAATTTTAAATATAGAAAAACCCGCTGAAAACATAAAAAAAAAAACAAGACAATATCTTACCTAAAAATTAACAATATATTTAGCTTCTTCCCACCGGACTTTTGGGGTCGCATTCTGCAAATGTCAATTTATGTATATCCACCAAGCCACGGCTCTTCTAAATATCATATCTTTCTTTTATTTTAAATTCAAGTCATCTTCACTGCAAAACTTGTACACATACATTCGTACGTGTTCTTAACTTTAGTTTTTTGAATCTGATTACCTTATCTTGTTATGTTTTTTTTGGAATATTCTTATAGTACGTGCAATTTAGTTAATGTCAATAAAAGTATTTTTTATTTGTATGATGCATACTTTTGTTTAAAGTTCATATTTTTAAATTTTATATCATGATACGTGATATGTTCTGATACTCCTAGTTTAATATTATGATCTGGATATGGCACTTAATTGCAAATGGCCCACTAACACTTATTCAAATTGAAATTCCCAGTAATACCTTTCCAAATTGAAAACGCAATCGATTTTGCTTCTTTAAAAGGTCACTCCGAGATCGAGTGAACACAGCACAACACAACACTGAACACAGAGAATCAGCTCAGAGCAGAACAACATAATCCAGAATGAGCACCGGCGCCGGACAAGTAGTGTGTGTTACCGGAGCTTCCGGTTACATTGCTTCCTGGGTCGTTAAGTTTCTTCTCGAACGCGGCTACACCGTGAAGGCCACCGTTCGCGACACAAGTATGTTTTTTTTTTTGTCTTCTATAATTTTTGTTTTCGTGGGTGATTATTTGTGGTGATGCATTACTATTTGGATGACTAAAGATTGGGTAATGTGTGATGTGCAGGTGATCCCAAAAAGGTAGATCATTTGCTCAGCCTTGATGGTGCGAAGGAGAGATTGCATCTCGTCAAGGCGAATCTTCTAGAAGAAGGTTCCTTTGACTCTGCCGTTGAAGGTTGTCACGCTGTGTTTCACACTGCTTCTCCCTTTTTCGACGATGCCAAGGACCCGCAGGTTTGTTTCGATTGCAGTTCGTTTTGTTCATTTGTTTCATCTATGGCTGTGTAATAATTTGTTTTCACTTTATGTATTTCAGACTGAGTTGTTGGATCCGGCTTTGAAGGGGACTCTGAATGTTCTGAAATCGTGCGTGAATTCGCCGACGCTGAAACGCGTGGTTGTAACTTCTTCTATTGCTGCAGTTTCATTCAACGACAGGCCTAAAAACCCTGATGTAGTGGTTGACGAGACTTGGTATTCGGACCCAGAATACTGTAAGAGAAATGGGGTATGTTCCTTTTCCTCTAATAAACTTTCATTACATGTTACTCCTTACTATAGTTTGGCATGTGTGTTGTCTCACCTTGTTCTTCACATTTCTTGCTATTTCCTATTTATGTTTTAGATATGGTATAACCTCTCAAAGACTTTGGCCGAAGATGCTGCCTGGAAATTTGCAAAAGAGAACAATATTGACTTGGTTACAATGAACCCTGCATTGGTTGTTGGACCTCTCTTGCAACCAGTACTTAACACTAGTTCTGCTGCAGTTTTAAATTTAATTAATGGTAATTACTATTTTCACATTATGCTCTAAAATTTCTATTATTCGATTTGCCTGCATCTTGGTTACACAATGTAGTTTTTTTCAACTAAAACTATGTTATCAGTTTTTGCTGAACAATTCTTAGATAATTGAAGAAACTGTTCCATCGCTTGATACAGGTTCGCCTACATTTAAAAATGTAACTTTGGGATGGGTGGACGTGAGAGATGTTGCAATTACCCATGTTCTGGCATATGAGAATGCTTCAGCTAATGGAAGATATTTACTAGTTGAAAGAGTGGCACACTTCTCAGATGTTGTGAAGATTTTACATGATCTGTACCCAACATTGCAACTTCCACAGAAATGTGTCGATGATAGGCCATATGATCCAATATTCCAGGTTTCGAAGGAAAAAGCAAAGAGCTTGGGGCTTGAATTTACACCTTTGGAAGTGAGCATCAAGGATACTGTGGAAAGCTTGAAGGAAAAGGGGTTTATCAAATTTTAAGTTTTTACCCTTCAAGAAAGGTTGAAACCTTCTTTAGTTGTACACTTGGCTTCTTATGTTCATGCTTATGAATAAATTTACTGTAAAATAAGACTTATATCAGAACTGCTAAGTACTGAAATAAGTTTTTCTTAGTGTGGTTTGTAAGAGTGACCATTTAGTGTGTCCTGGTAAAGTTCGCATTACAGATTGTATCCTCCTTATACTATATATATTACTAGAAAATGTCTGTTGCAACTAATGCATTATATTTGTATCATTTGTGGCTCTAGAGTGGAAAATTCAGTTGGGAAGTTCAATACTGTAAACATATGAAAGTAGTTTATATTAAATTTGGGATACCTAAGTGTGTGAAGAAGCATAAGCATTTTAAAAATAATACTTTTCATTAGTTTCACTATGTATAGACATCAAAATCGTGTTGTCTCGCCCAACTTAACCAACTAAGAAAAATAATGTAACTTTTGCTGGTTAGACTCGTTCCATAAAGGAAAAGAAAGATTAAAGAATAAAATGGTTGTGTGTAAAAGTTTGTTGGATGTTAAAATAATAATACCCTATAAATAAACACCCTTCTGTAATTGATGGGACAACAGTATTACAATTTTAAGAATTGTTTTCCTTGAGAGTGACATAGTTTCTGGTATTACAAAATCATCATTACTTTGTCTTAGACTAACTTGTTTTGTCTTGTCTTAGTAGTGCTCAATTGGTCATCAAAAACACCGATTGAAAAAAGAGAAAGTTATCTTGATTGGAATGACATCATAGAAATACGTGTAGTTCTCCAAATCTTGCATAATGTATGTTAGATGTTCGATACAAGTCTTCAAAGATGTGCAGGTTTCATTACGCATGTTTTGTTGGTCATGTTGGGATTTTACTTCTAAGCATTGTGATACACAAATCATGAATGGTTGGAATGCAAATTTTAAGTTTAGATAGGACTAATCAACTAAGTCGTCTTAAGAATTTCACCAAATCAAATAAAAGAATATACAGTAGGGTTAAAAATATAAAATAACAATAGAGAGGTTTGCAGGAGACGATGTAAAGAAAAATAAATATGCAAAAACAGTATGATTCTGTATTTTTTTCATAATTAAATTCTTATCATTTATTTAATTTCTAAACAGGTCTCAAATTAACTAAACAAGTGTCAATTTATTTGGTAAGACTCTTACTCATTCCAAGCGTTTATGAGAGTGAAATTGTTTTTAAACGTATTCTAAGTGTCTACATGTAAAATAAACTAAATATGTAGTTCATAAAT